AATTTTTTTTAAAAAAAAAAAAAAAAAAAAAAAAAGAAAAGAAAGGGTGAAATTCGAAATTTAAATTTCAAGATAAAAATTCAAAGTTTTTTCATTTCATTGTTGTTCACATTTGCATCCATTCATTTGCCCGAATCTCTGTTATCAATCGTTTTTTTGGTGAACTATACCACCACCAACATCCATGATCAAAGTGATCAAACCGATGATCACCTACCCCCCCCAGTCTCATATCACCCATTCTGTCAACTAAACTAGAATGATTAATTGCTTTTTTTTTGGATTTCAAACAACAAACAAACAATTGTCGTTTACATTTTCATCGTTTTTTTTCATTTGGTTTCTACTTCCACTACTTTACAATTTCTGTCATATATGGTTGCTCTGTAAATGTGAATCGAATCAAACAAAAACTAAAAAAGATCTTTCTTTCTTTTCTTTTTCGGGGACTATTGTTTTCGGGTTATGTTAAGATCCATTTTCTTTTCCTTTTTTTTTCAGGATTTTTCCCGAATGTTTTTTTGCTTTTCTTTCGTTGATTTAACACTTGGTGATGTAGCTCTCAAATTTCTTGCAATCAATGATGATGATGATAAAGGAAAATGTCTTTGTGTGTGTGTATGTATGTCACCCATTATGGTGAAGAACTGAAATTGAATGAAAAAGTAATCAATCATTCTGTCCAAGTAAATTAACTTGGTAAAAAAATTATATGATCGTCATTATTGTTGTTGTTGTTGTTGAAATCAAAGATACTTTTAACAACAACAACAATATCGATTATTTAGATCGAAAATTATCATCATAATCATTGGATGACACAAACGTACACAGGGTTAGGGGACAAATTCTTGTTGTTTTTTTTTTGACTTTTAACAAATCAAATTTGAATTTTCAAGGGTGGTCAAAATTGACAACATTTTTTGGGTTCATTAAATTCAAACAACATAAAGGTCAAAAACTTTTCAAAATCCATATTTTTTTTTTTTGATAAACATTATGGAAAATGTCATCTAACAAAAAAACACATGCTTGAAACAAGAGAAAAACCATTGACCATATGTGTTGATTCCAATGATGATATAATAATTAAAAATTTTTGATCTCGATATTATCAAACTTGAATTTATTCTTTGGTTTTTTTCAATTTTTTAGTTTTGGTTTTGGTTTTTTTTTTCGGTCGAAAGTCACGCTATAATTCAATCAGAATCAATCAATTTAAGCACGAATTTTACATTTTTTTTTATTTTTCTGGAATTAAATTATATGAAATTGATTCATCATCATCATGATGATGATCAAGAATTGATTTCACGAATTTTTTAATTCTCCAAATGTCATAATCAGATGCTATAGAAATGAAGAAATTCATTCTTTTGAATACATTCAATATTAATTGACACTTTTGTTTGTGGCATGATAACATCTTTATTATCTTGATATGATGTTTTTCACACGCACAATGATATTACAAAGAAACAGAGAATCATCAAGAAAAACCAAAAAAAAAACTTTGTAATTTTGCCGAATCAATTTTACTTGCTTGCTTTGCTTATTATTTGCGGTTTTGCTTTTGCTTCGTTTTGTTTCGTTTCATTTTTTTCAATTACTTTGCTTATCTTTCACTTGCATCCATTTTTTTCCACCATTGATTGATTGATTGATTCGATTTCAATTTTTTTTAATTTCATTTCAATTTTGAATGAAATAAACAACATAGGAATCAAAATTTATACACGATTCATCATCATCATCATCATCGATATCTACATTTACAACTAATACATTATACACGCGATCAATTTTGTGGTTTTTTTTGTTGGATATTTGTACTAGCAATGATTATTATTGATACATTCAAATATTTATAATGTAATGATGCTACAATATTAGATGATGATGATGTCAAAATAGTTGTTGTTGATGATGATATGATGATTATGATGGTGGAGTTGAAATAGTTGATTTTTTTCATTTCCCCCCTCCACAAAACCAAGTAATTGTGGTCGAAAATAGTATCTTTATTTCTGATCGTTGTTTTTTTCCATTTTAGCTAATGTTTATCTTCAAAATGTTAGTGAGTGGTGATCAATATTATTTCCAAATTTCATTTTTTTTATTTGACGGGAAAAAAAAACAAACGAAAACGATAAAATAATATGAATTTAATATGTGTACATCACCGAAAAGAAAACCAGAAAAAATTGTATCCGACACCTTAATGTAGCGAAATATTAGAAAAAAAGTTTTTTGCTGGACACATCCTAATGATAATTTAATAGACAAATTGATTTCTTTTTGCTTGCTACAAATTGAAATCAATCGTTCATCGTTTTTTTTTTCTTCGGTTGTTTTGGTGCCATTCCAATGATGCACGCAACCATATAT